TTTGGATTGCTGAGTACACAGCCATGTTTATTTCTCTCACAGTAGGATTATTGGATCATATGGTACTTGTTAAACTTTGTAAGAAACTGCTAAACTGTTTTCTAGAGTAGCAGTATATGATAATTCAAGTTACTTCACATTCTTGCCAGCATTTAGTATTTTTCAATACTTTTTTTTTAAATATACGTGTTTAGTGGCATCTAATTATGGTTTTAATTTACATTTAATGAATCACCGATGATGTCAAACATCTCTTAATTGTGTCCTTTGCCATCTATATAGCAATGTAATGTTTATTCAGGTCTTTTGTCTATCATATCTTTCTTTATGGATTCTGCTTTTGATGTCTTCCCTTAGAACTCTATGTCTTAAGGACATAGAGATTTTATTCTGTATTTTCAAATAAATATTAGTAATTTATAGTTAATATATATGCCACAAATATCAATATATATTATATTTTAGTATTAATTAATTATAGCTACTGATCATTACTATATTATAGTTTTACATGTACCCTTAGCTTATGATCCATTTTTAGTTAGTATTTGTATAAGGTGCAGTTTAGGTCTGGATTCACTTTTTGCATATAGATAAATTGTTCTAACACCATTTTTTGCAAACAAAATGCTTTTGTCTTTGAATTGCTTTTACACATTTGTCAAAGATCAAATGATCATATTTCTGCAGGTCTGTAGGTCTGATTCCTTTCTATTGCATTGGCCTTGGAATCCTTTTGCAAATACCACACTCTGATTAAAGTAGCATTACAATTTGTTTTTCTCTGTCATCTGATAGAGGATTATTAATTTTCATTATCTTTCACTTTTGGTTTAGGGATTATTATCTCTCACATTTTGGGTTTTTATTTACTTATGCTTACCTATTCATTACATTCTTCCTTTTACTTCACTTGGGGGTTCTTCCTTTTCTAGTTTCTTAAGAGCAGCGATAAAATCATTGGTCTGACACATTTTTGTCTGCTACTGTAGGCAGTTATTAAGATGATTCTCCTGCTCAGCATTCCCTTTAGCTTCATCACATCATTTTTTATTTAGTGTGCCATATTTTCATTTTTGTTCAGTTCAAAATATTTTGTTTTTCCTCAGATTTCTATGGTGGCTCATAGATCATTTACAAGTATGTTCTTTAATATCCAAGTGGTAGAAGGTTGTCCTGTTTTCTTTGTTATTCTTATTTCTATTCTATTTTTACTAGAGACTATATGTGATTTCAGTTCTTTAAAAGTTGTTAAGTATTTTTATGGTCTATATTTTTCCATGTACACCTGAGAAAGATGTGTTTTCTGCTTTTAATTTTTTCTGTCAATTACATTGAGTAACTTGATGCTTTTTGTTCTCCTATGTGCTTGCTGCTTTCCATCTGTTGCAGAGTGGGTTGAAATCTCCTACCATAGCTATATGTTTGTCAACACTTTCGGTATTTTAGGTTTCATTAGGTATATACACATTTCAGATTGCTGTGTCTTCTTTGTGAAATAATTATTTTATCAATATGTAATGTCCCTCTTTTATCTTCATTAAGTTTTTTCCTCTGAAGTCTACTTTATCTGATACTTTTTTTTACTTTATCTGATATTAATATGTATTAATATGACCATTCCAGCTTTCTCTTGATTTGCATTTGCATGGTATATTTTCTTCAACCAATTGTTATTAAACCTATCTATCTCATTAAATTTTGACTTTCTTTGTCTTTTTGGTGGTACTGGGGTTTTTGTTTTTGTTTTTATCTGTTTCTTTGTTTGGTCTAGTTTTTTTGGTTGTATTGGGGTTTCAACAAAGGGCCTTATGCTTGCTAGGCAGGTGCTATACTGCTTGAGCCACTCCACCAACCCTTTTTTGTGATGGATTTTTTTGAGAGAGGGTCTCTTGAACTATTTTTCTGGGGCTGGCTTGGAACTGTGATCCTCCTGATCTCTGCCTCATGAGTAGCTGGGATTACAGATGTGAGCCACGAGTGCCTGGCTAGTTCTGGGGTTTTGAACTCAGGACCTTGTGTTTGCTGTGTACATGCTCTGCTGTTAAGAAACCATGCCTCCAGCCCTTTTTATTTTTCAAATAGGTTCTTGCATTCTTTGTCCAGCCCATGCTTAAAATTTATAGGCATACATCACCATTCCCAGCTTGTTTTTACTTTTTTTTTTAGTTTTTTTGACAAGAGAGAGAGTCTCACTAACTTTTTTGTCCAGGCTAGCCTCAAAACTGCAATCCTCCTATCTCTGCTTCTTACATAGCAATGATTACAGGTAAGCACCACCATACCCAGCCATTTGAGTTTCTTACAGGCAATATGTGGTTATTTTTTTTTATCTAATCTGATAATCTGTCTCTTAACTGATGTGTTTAAAAACATTTATATTTAATGTAACTACTAATGTGCTTAAATTTAAATCTGACATTTTATTTGTTTTCTGTTTGCACTCATTGGTTTTTGTTCCTGTGCTTCCCCTTTTTAGCCTTCTTTAGTTTTTTGAGTATTTTTAGTAATCCATTTTAATTTATCTGTTATAACTTTTACTACATAGCTTGTATATATTTCCAGTGGTTTCTATAGCAGTTCCAAAACCCAGACTTAGCTTCTTTTTTTTTTTATTTTATTTTATTTTACTTTTTTTTGGTGGTACTAGGGCTTAAACTCAGGGCTTCACACTTGTTAGACAGGCAACTCTATCTCTTGAGTCATTCCACCAGCTCTCCAGACTTAGCTTTTCACAATTATTTCAGTGCAGTACCTTCACTTGTAATGTGGAAACCTTATCACACTATAGGCTATAGGCTCTTTATCCTCTTTTCTAATGTACTTGTATACTACACCTACTCATACTGAAAAACCCATCATACAGTGCTTTTTTTATTAAGACCATATAGCCTGTCTTAAAAACATAGTAACAGTCTATTATACTTACCATTCCTATTGTACTTTTATCATTCATGATGTCCCAACATTTCTTACATATGATTTATTTTCTGTTTAAAGAATAATTTTTTATTACTTTTAAGGTAATATGCCTCCTACTGGGTATGAATTCTGTTAGTTTTCCTTCCACCTGAAGTTATCCTTAATTCTCCATCAAAAATGTTTTTGCTTGGCATAGAAATCAGGTTGGAAGATCTCTTCCTCAGTACTTGGAAGTTATTGTTCTACTGCTGTCTGGATGTTATGGATTATGAATTGTTGTTCCCCAGTAGGTAATTTCTCATTTTTCTCTGGATGCTTTCCAGATGTTTTTGTCTGCATTTCAGCAACTTAAGACTTGTCTGGGTGTTGATTTCAGGGGGTTCACCGTGGATGGGGTCCAGTCATCTTTTTTGTTTGTGTTTCAGAAATCAGTAATTTCTTCAAATATTATTTTAACTATGCACTCTTTATTCTCTGCTCTTTAACTTCAATAACATAAATGTTAGATATTTTATTGTTGTCCAGCCCCCACCTGTGAGCTTTACTTCTTTTTCCTTCAATTATTTTTTTTCTCTGCTCAGATTAGAGATGCTTTTTATTGGTCTATCTTCAAGTTCACTGGTGCTTTTCTATATCATCTTCATTCTGCTGTTGAGTATGTGACTTTTATTTCGGTTAATTTCCATTTTGAAGTTTTTTAGTTTTTAGTTCTAAATGTTCCATTTGCTGCTTCTTTATATTTTCTGTGTTTCAATAATACTTTACATTAACGTTTGTAGCTGCTTCTTTGAACATAATAATTCTGCATTCAAGTGTTTGGTGTTAATTCCAATAGCTTGTATCACCTTCTTACTCATGTTTGTTGATTGTCTTATGAGTCGAGATTTTGTGATTCTTTGTGTGCAAAGTAATTTTGTTTATATCCTCGATGTTCTTCAAACAGTACATTATGAGACTCTGTATCTTATTTATATCCTGTCTGTAGGCTATAATTATAATGTCAGTATTCAAAGCGATTGCAGTGCTATTTCAGTCTCTTCCATATTTATAGTCCATTGATCAGTCTTGCACCTGGGAAGAGGTCCAATCTGGCATGCAAATTAGGATTAGATGCATGTATCCAAATGTTGGAGTTAGCACACAAGTTCATAAGCAACTTTAAAATATAATTTTCCTGCTTCTTTCTCCTATTACATCCTTCATACTTCCTGGTTTCCCAGGATTCCTTTATCATTTCTCCAGCCAAATATCATCCCCTTTCATGATTGTGCCATATCAATTTGGAAAAGGATAGAGAGCAGGGTTTGGCTCTGCCTTCTTGTAGTCACAGATCCACTGAACTGAGAAAAACATTCCCCTCACTTAGAGTTAGCCCTTGCAGATTTACCTTTTCTTATCTATATTTGCCATCTCGTCTCTACCATGAGACTTCCAGTACGGGGGCACAAAGAACAGAGAAAAACATCTGATTGCTCTTTACTGCCTTCTGTCAAACCCAAAACAGAGAGTTTCTCCTTAATCTTACTCCATTTGATTGCAAAGCTCACTCAAAAGCATTGGATGGTTTTGAGTTCAGGCAAAGGGGTACTCAGAGAAAAATGGCAAAGTCACCAGCAGTTCAGTGATACTTTGGATTCTGGTGCTCCAACTGCTAATATTTACTTTTCTTAGTTCTTCTGGTTTAATAATTGAGATCATGGGAAGTAAAGAGTTGTATGTGTGTTTGCTCAGTTATATTTGGAAACCAGAGATTCTGTTGATGAGCTGCAGATATCTTTATAAATTCTGGAAAAAATTGTGCTGGGGATTGACTCCAGCTCCTTCCATGAGCTAAATATGCTCTACCACAGAGCTAACCTCTGGAAATTCTCATTTTAGAAATTCTCCTTTAGATATAAACTGAGGCAAGGGAGAGAAGACACTTTTGTTGATGTAAGAAAAAGCTGTTATAAAATGTTTCCAGGGATAAAGTTGCAAGAAACTTTTGTCTGTGTAACTGTGTAAGAAAAGTTAATGATCTAAAAACTGTCTGAAGATAAGATTAGATGTACCATGTAAATTCTTGCTCTTCTTTCTAGATAAAAGGAATATCTCAAAAGATACATCATACAGAAATATACGATATGCTGACTGTTTTTGACCTGCTAGAAAATCTCCATACATTTTCAGGCTCACTGAGTGGAGGAGTGAAGCGCAAACTCTCCATCATTATAGCACTGATAGGGGGCTCCAAGGTATTAAAGTAGAATGAGAAAGGAGGGGCCACAAGCACACAGAGTAGGAGGTGAAAGGGGGACTGAACAATAAGTGTTCTTACCATGTAGTCTATAAAACTCAGCTGTCTAAGCTGTGAGAGTTGATATAATCTAAAAGGAAACCTGCCAGTGATAATGAAGAGGGATTCACATCATTGACCCAGCTTTTATAACATGACTTGTATTATTATTTTCCTAGATTTCACCTCTATATTACTCTAGGCTCTATCTTACCTTAACTATGTTCCCCTCAAATCGTAAGTAATCCCACAAGTAGCACTGTATCATTTATCAATGGTCATAGAATTGTTTTTCTGCTTTTAGGTAGTGATACTGGATGAACCATCATCTGGCATGGACCCAGTCTCAAGGAGAGTCACCTGGGAACTTCTTCAGCATTATAAAAAGAATCGTGCCATCTTACTGACAACCCACTACATGGATGAAGCTGACATCTTGGGTGACCGCGTTGCCATCATGGTCAGGGGCACCCTGCAGTGCTGTGGCTCTTCAGTCTTCCTGAAACAAATATATGGTCTCTCTCCATTTGATTATTATTAGGATACTGATGCCTTAATAATATTCTTTTAATATTATTTTCATTATAGTTTGTCTAAATGCCTAAAACTTCAGTGATCTTCCTCTGTCCTACAAAATAGGTCTCAACTATTATAATTGGTTTTTAAGGTCCTTTGCATTCTGGATTTTCCTTATATATACTTATCACTTGTTCTTCAACACATTACTTCAGATTCCATAAATATTTGAATCAACAGCAAAGGTCATGCTTATTTGTCCCATTTTGTACTACTACTGACAGTTTTGTATCTGAAATGCAGTTGTGCCTCCAAATAGATTTATTTGAATGAGAAGTAGAGGAATCAGACATTTCTGATCCTAGTTTCTCTAGTGCCAAACCAAATCCTCACTATAATGAGATAACTGCAAATGGTAATTGACAGTAAGAATGATGTGTAGAATAAAAGAATCATGTAAGTGGAATAAAGCAGTCTTTGATAAATACACAGCTTTGATAGGAGATAAAATTGATATGTCAAATGGTAAGCTGTGTAGGGCTGAAATTATAGTAATAACATCCCCAAATTAGAGAATGTAAGTGTAATTGACAACAAGATTAATTATTTCAATAATTAATTTATTCAGTTTTAGAGTTCATTCAACTTATAAATATTTCTTTTTATACTGGCTACCATGCTGTCTACTCAGTATATCTTATATAGGATTCAAAACAACAACCTTACTTTATAGAATACAAAATTGTGGCCAGGTATATTAAAAAAAACTTTTCTAACATAAATTTACATATCCATTTGGTTGTACAAAGTTTATGATCACAGGTTATATAAATTTTGATGAGGACAAAAAATTTATGTACTGTTTTCACTACTGTTCCCAGGGCCCAGATTAGTATCTAACATATAATAATAGCAACAATAATAGCAAAATTCGTATTTACCAATATTTCAGTTTCAAAAATAAATAGCCAAATAATGGAGGAGGAGGGGGTCTTCCTTCATATAGCTCCTATATCTGGTTATTTATACTAAATCATTATGATTCACTAAGAAAATTATTGAAATTAAGCAAAAGCTGTTGTTTATTCAGTGTCTTGGCTTTTAGGGCAGATTTTGAAAGTTTGTGAGCTTCCTTATAGTCATTATTAATGTCTTGTGACATACCTATACTATGTATTCTTGTAGACCTATATGACCTTAACCACAGAGAGCCAAATTTGATCTTAAGAGTATTTAAAAGTACATAATTTCTTCAGTTGATCATCTGAATGGTTTGTCTTAGGTGCTGGATATCACATAGTCATGGAGAGGGAGCCACACTGTGATGTTGAAAAGATCTCTGCAATGATTAAGTCTCAGGTTCCAAGTGCCACATTGGAGAAAAACATTGGAGGTGAATTATCATTTATCCTACCCAAAAAGTATACACAAAGGTATGGATCCAGATAGTTCTAGATGAATGGTTTTTTGTGTGACCAGAAATCATTTTTAATTTCCTAGGCTTAGCAACCTTAGTGAGTTATGTTTTTCTAACAAACCAAGTATTCACTTATAGCAACGATTTGCCAAGTAGAGTTAGAAAATTCAAAGCTGAAGATTTCTCTCACAGAGCAGAGGATTGCCTCATAATTTAGAATTTTATACAAGGCTTATATGATATTTTTCTTTCAATTTGTTAGTTTTCCAGAGGAAATGTATAACCTAGTGGCTATAAGAGATAGTTAATGGCAGGATGTTTCCAGTGTACAAATTTTCTACATAATATCCAGAGAAATTTTAAGATAATGAAAGTAAAAGGCAGTTTGTATAGCAACTCTTGGAGCAGATGTAACACAGAAAAAAACAGGAGTTTGGCTTAGCCATTAGCCAAATTAGTTGGAAGAGACACACAAAGATAATTCTACCTGGGTTTACCATCCTAGCTAAGAGAAATGGAAAGTAAGAGTGCACATCGCTGACTTTCAGGAAGTGTGTCATTTTTGTGTTCTTTCCTGAAGTTATTACTACTATTATGTCCCATAGATGCAAGTCAGCTTCCTTACACAAGAATAATTTTAAACTAACCATTGGACAACAAAAAAAAAAACCAACCAACCAGAATAAGATAGCCATAACCCTTTAAATCATAAAATAGTTTGTTATTGTTGGAAAAGAATAAAATAACAAGAACTTCTTGGTTATTTTCAAGACCTTGATAACTGAGATTAATTGTTCATTGGCTTTGTGCCAGGCATAGTTCTCAGTACTTACATGTATGTATTTACGAGAAAACCATAGGAAGAGATTTCAAATTAGTACTTATGACTTCATATACTGATATTGTCAGCCATATAATGTGACTAACAAGTGAATTTGGAATTTTTAAAATAAGATTCAAAGCTGATTCTTTGAGATCAGTGCATTCAATAAAACTTTAGTCAAACTGATCGTGAAGAAAAAGAAATTATACAAATTACCTATATTTGGAATGAGTGAGGTGATATCCTTACCTATGCTACCATTAGTATATTAATAAAAGGATATTACTAAAAAAAATTATTAATGCCAATAAAATTAATATCTTAGATAAAATTGACCAATACTTCCTTAAATGGCCAGGGATGTAGCTCAGTGGTAAGGAACTTGCCCAGAATGTGCTGGGTTTGATTCCCAGCACCACACCAAAAACAAAAAAAGAAACTTCCTTGAAAGACAAAAGTTATAGAAACTGACTCAATAAGAAGTACTTACCTTGAAAAGTCCTTTGTTTACAAATAAAAATTTTATTTTCCAAATTGATTTTTAAAAATCATTATAATGCATCCACCTATAATCATAGCTACTTGGGAGGCTGAGATCAGGAGGACCACAGTTCAAGGCTAACCTGGGCAAATATTTCGTGAGACTCCATCTCAAAAATAACCAGAGAAAAATGGGCTGGAGGTGTAGCTCAAGAGGTGCTGCCTGATTTGCAAGCACAAAGCCCTAAGTTCAAACCCCAGTCCCACAAAAATTAGATAGATAGATGATAGATAGATAAAAATAAATATGGGGGTAATTGGATTTGAACTTAGGACCTTGCATTTGCAGGATTTCTACCACTTCAGCCCTTTTTTGCTTTTAATTATTTTTCAGTTAAGGTCTTACATTTATGTCCAGGCAATCCTGGATGGCAGTTCTCCTATTTACACATCCTGCATAGCTCGAAGGCAGGAATGCACAACAATCCAGCTTTTATTGGTTGAGATGGGGTCTCATGCACTTTTTGCCTGGGCTGGCCTGAAACTGCCTCCTCCCACCCTCTACCTAGCTAAGATCACAGGTATGAGCCACTGTGCCTGGTTCTTTAAAAAAGATTATAAATCTTCCCATGAACTGCACACAGTAGCCTACATCTGTAGTATTAGGCTAAGGTAGAAGGATCCCTTGAGCCCAGGAGATCAAGGTCAGCTTGGGAAATGTCCCAAGAACCTGCGCCCCACAAAAAAAATCTTCACACAGAGGGTGCTCCAGAGACACATGTCTTAATTGATGAAGTCTAACAAACATGTACAGAAGAAAACAGTATCAACTATACACAAATATTTCTAGAAAAAATCTAAGCAAGGGAACATTTCCTAACACGTTTTATTTTTTTTTTTAATTACTGTGCATGTATTCCACAGCTCAGATGATGCGGAGCTCTCAGTCAGTCGTGAATTATCATCAGTTGTGTTTATTTTTTAATTCGTTTATTCATATTTGCATACATTGTTTGGGTCATTTCTCCTCCCTCCCCCCACCTCCAACTCTCACCCCACCCCCACCCCTTCCCCACCCCCCCTCGCTTCCAAGCAGAACCTTTTCTGCCCTTATCTCTAATTTTGTTGAAGAGAAAGTATAAGCAATAATAAGAAAGAAAAGGCAGGGTTTTTTTAATTCATATGTGCATACAATGCTTGAGTCATTTCTCCCCCCTCCCCACACCCCTTCCCTTACCACCTATCCCACCCCCTCCCTGTCCCCCCACCCCCTCAATACCCGGCGAAAACTATTTTGCCCTTATCTCTAATTTTGTTGAAGAGAGAGTATAAGCAATAATAGGAAGGAACAAGAGTTTTTGCTAGTTTAGATAAGGATAGCTATATAGGGAGTTTACTCACATTGCTTTCCTGTAGATGTGTGTTACATTCTAAATTAATTCTTCTCAAACTAACCTTTTCTCTAGTTCCTGATCTCCTCTCCTATTGGCTTCTGTTACTTTAAAGTATCTGCATTAGTTTCTGCATTGAGGACAACAAATGCTATCTAGTTTTTTTGGGTGCCTTACCTATCCTCATACCTCTCTTGTGTGCTCTTGCTTTATCATGTAATCAAAGTCTGATCACCTTGTTGTGTTTGCCCTTGATCTAATGTCTGCATATGAGGGAGAACACACGATTTTTGGTCTTTTGGGCCAGGCTAACCTCACTGAGAATGCTGTTCTCCAATTCCATCCATTTACCAGCAAATGATAACATTTCGTTCTCCTTCATGGCTGCATAAAATTCCATTGTGTATAGATACCACATTTTCTTGATCCATTCATCAGTAGTGGGGCATCTTGGCTGTTTCCATAACTTGGCTATTGTGAATAGTGCCGCAATAAACATGGGTGTGCAGGTGCCTCTGGAGTAACCTATGTCACAGTCTTTTGGGTATATCCCAAGAGTGGTATTGCTGGATCATATGGTAGATCAATGTCTAGCTTTTTAAGTAGCCTCCAAATTTTTTTCCAGAGTGGTTGTACTAGTTTACATTCCCACCAGCAGTGTAAGAGGGTTCCTTTTTACCCCGCATCCTCGCCAACACCTGTTTTTGGTGGTGTTGCTAATGATGGCTATTCTAACAGGGGTGAGGTGGAATCTTAGTGTGGTTTTAATTTGCATTTCCTTTATTGCTAGAGATGGTGAGCATTTTTTCATGTGTTTTTTGGCCATTTGAATTTCTTCTTTTGAGAAAGTTCTGTTTAGTTCACTCGCCCATTTCCTTATTGCCGAACCCTGTTCTTAAATATCATCAGCCTGAGCTTCTCTGTTCTTTAGGTGGGGACAAGGCTGGGTGGAGAAGTGGGCAAATCCCTCTCTCTGCACCCCAGTGTTCCTGCCCAATTACTGTGGCTACAGCAACGAAATGGGTGCCAGCCATCAGAGAGATTAATGGTTTGAATACTTCTGTCACTGTCCGGGAAATCCCAGCAGACCCCAGGGCCCAGAATCATCCCTACTGACATCTAAGTGCAGCCTCAGTCTACAAGGCTCCAGAAAGGACTGAGCCTTCAGACCGTAGGACCCTAGGATATGTCTGTGATCAGAAGAGCCGGCTTCCTCTGAACACTTCACTGCCTCCAGTACTACAACCCCACATTTAAGTGACTAAACTTCGGGATCCCCTGAATTGAAGGAACTGATGACTAGAGTTGTTTAGCTGGTTCAACTTCTCACAGTGATTAAGTGGCAGAAATGTAACTTCTGTCCTTAACCTCTGGTCCTTGCTCCTTCTATATCATCCACATGTAAAACAGACCCTCCTGTATTCTGTCATGGCCCACCAATGGGAAGACAGTGGGGCAGCTGTCCTTCACTAACTAGGCATGCATGCATGTGTGCAAGGGTGATGTGCCACAGACTGACCACCATGGGAACAAGATGGCAAGACCTTTGTTCTCCCCAGAGTGTACACATGGTGGGGGACCAGCAGGCAATGCATAAAGAGAAACAAACAGGGTCACTCTATGCCTCTTCCTATTACTTCATAATTTGTTAAGCTGATGGATATTTTAAGGAATATTCCTTGTGATAAAGAAATCTGAATTTCAATAATTCCTCCTGTTTCAATCTGGTTTCTTTTTTCTTCTGTTAAATTAATGCAAATTTAAAGGCTCTAGTTGTATTTACAAAATATATATATAACGAGCCTAGATTCCATATGGCTGGCACCTTCCTCACAAAGAAAAAGGATACACTGGCTATGAGAGGAGAGACAAACTCAGGAATATAGGCCTAAGTCGTGATGCTCACGTGATCTAAAACCATCTGTTCCAAGGGCACAGGGCAGCTGGGCTAAGAAGCAACACTCCCTGGAGAGAGAAAGCTATTCAGAACCTTTCCATCTGCAGAGAGGAGGGTCTGAGTTGGTGGCTTTGAAACCAATCTGCCCATACTTCAAAGGGCTCCACGCTGTGGGATCCACCAGGTGGACTTTGAAGTCATCACCCAGAAATTTCTTTGTGAAAACTTACTTTATAGCTTTGCTTTAAAATCTTGTTATATTCAATTTCACTGTTTAATGTAAGTTCAAGCCCTCTCCACAAAAAGTCCTCTGTGTGGAGGCCAGGCTGCAAACCCCACAGGTACAGATCAGCTGACCAGGACAACACCCACATCAGCCTCCTCATGGACAGCTGGGGAGAGGCAAAGAGAAGGATCTCTGAGCC